CAATCCACTCTGTGGCATCCAACTCCGCCGGCAATGTAACGTAAGCCGCACGTAGCCGCTCATCCATTTCTGAGAAAAAGCCAGGATAGTAATGGCTAAGAATCCTCCCCGACGAAAAGGGAAAGGAAAGGGGTTAAGCGGAACCACTATTTTCATGAACAAGGATAGCTGATTGAAGAAAGAACCAGTATCATACGGTAGGTTAAAGTGCCCCATACATCAATCGCATACACGGTACGTCAACCGTGATGCGAATGATGCCTAAGGTACTATACGAAATACAGAGGAACGTAGTCACTCAGTGCGTGATGTCCTGGCGGTAAGTTACCGCTTCATGTCTCGAACCTTACAGTATCAACTAGCGCGATACAAGAGGGGAGAGCTTTCAATATACATAGTATCGACTCTCGCCTGCTTAATTATCACTTTTGGAACCCAAGTTAAGGACCGCCTGTACTCCTGAACCTTTTGGCAGTGCCGCAGTGCTATTGTGGATGCCACTAGGCCGTGCTTAAAAGTCTTGCCTTGAGTCAACCAGATTGGCTGTACCACGACGTATTCTTTTCTTCCCTTTCCCCGCTCCCTTTTGGAAGATCAGTTTCCCGGGACCAACTGAGTTCGAAATTGAGAGCTGGTTGATCTCAATGAGACTCTATAGCTTAAGCAATATCGGTGAGGAGGTAGCAGGACTGATCTCGGATAGTTGGGCACTTGATTCACCCTCCCTTCGGTTCTTTGTTTCCTCAGCCAATCGACGTAATTATCTATCTACAAATACCTCCATTGGTCTAAGTGGTCCTGGGTCCTCATCCAACTCACATCCTGTAGCTAGGGAGACCTGGCAATCAGAGCAGGGTCGTATCATATACAATAAACCATTCTGAGAACTACTGGAGTCGGAAGGTGGCATTCCCTCGGATGTCAGTAGAGCTACGCCCCACCAGCACCTGGAACGATCCCGGTTCAACCACGTACTTCATCCGGCTATCCCACAACCCCAGCTCGCCAACTTTCAGTTGGATCTTCACAGCTTTGGTCTCGCCAGCACGAATAACGACCTTTTCAAACCCCTTCAGCAACCGATTCGGCACTTCCACGGAAGATATATCATCCACCACATACACCTGCACGACTTCGGTTCCATCTAACCGCCCATGTGTATTCGTCACATCCACACTTACTGTCACTGTATCCGCCGCCGATACAGTTGTCTTGTCCAATGTGACCTTTCCATACTCAAATTCGGAGTACGACAGGCCATACCCAAAGGGATACCACGGCAGCGGAGTACCCAGGACATACTGGTGGCCAAAGACAAGGGTGCCATTAGCCGCCACAGATCCCGAGTCACTGATAGCTCGGCCAGAGTTCAGATAATCATAGTAGATGGGGAGGTCGCCGACATAGTGGGGGAAGGAGACCGATAGTCTCCCTGAAGGGTTGTAGTCTCCAAAAAGGACATCTGCAAGAGCGTTACCACCTTCTTCAGAAGGGTAGAATTGTTGCACGAGTGCTGAAGTACTATTAGAGAGCCAAGGCTCACTGATAGGTTTACCACTAGAGAGGACCACGATAGTAGGGACACCTGTGGAGACGATGGCTCGGATAAGTTCACTTTGCGCTCCGACCAGGGAAAGGTCATTGACGTCCACGTGCTCGCCCGTCCTATATTCTTCGTCAATTTTTTATAATGATATGGGCAGGAAGGGAGACTCACGTTGCGTTCAAGCCTTGCCAGAGTTCGTTCTGGTCACGGGACCAGGTTCCCACGACAACTATGGCAACATCAGATTTCCGAGCCGCGTCAATAGCTTCCGCAAAGCCAGACTGATCATTGCTCCATCTTTCACAACCCTTTGCGTAGTGGACGCGGGCTCTTGTGCCGACAGCAGATTTAATGCCGTCTAAAGGTGTGACGCCGCGGTACTGGCTTCGATATGGGACGTAGTCCCCATACTATTTTTTTGTTGGTTAATTTGGGGAAGTGGTGAAAAACTGGGATTCGGGGTATACTACATTCATGAACCCATGTGCCATTGGACCAATGACAGCAATATCGCCTTTTTTCTTCAGGGGCAGGATATTGTTATGATTTTCCAGAAGTACAATAGACTCCTTGTCCAGTTGTCTGGCAAGCTCAACTGCTTCTGGGGTGTGGATAAGATGCTTCCACTCCTGCGGTGGAGCACCTGGGTATGGGTTTTCAAACAGACCCATAGCAAACTTAGCACGGAGCACCCTAGAGACTGCAGTGTCAACAATCTTCATATCAAGTTTGCCTGACTTAACCAGGTCGGGAATTTTTTGGAAGTTGCTGCCAGTGCGTCAGTGCTCCATTGCTCCATTTACCCTATTCCAGTGGTTGTGTCTTACTATGATCCACCTCCCATCTCAACATCATTGCCAGCAGGAAGGGCCTTGAGCGTCACAGATTCCATGTCAATTGGAGAGCTTTGGCAGAGATGGAAGGCAGTGCACAGGCGATCTGTTGCTCCAGCATCACTAATCACAAAGTACTCATAGCCCCATTCATCACGAAGGATCTCTGTAAGCAGATGGTAATCTGCCACTGCCGGGATGCCATCGTAGCTAGCAAATCGAATCAGCCATGCAGCCCCAAGTCACATAGGGGAAACAGCGACAGTCTTACGAGTGGTATGCGCTCATGATACTCCAGGCACCGGCATCTACGATCGCCCGCTTGTAAGATGGCAGCCAACTAGATCACAGGTAAATAAGAGTCCTCGTCGTGCAAATTGCAGAAGAATTTACGCACGTAGTACGCAGGTACCGCTCGCCTCCGTGAACAGGACCAGTATTGAGGCCCTGCTCTGGCTGGCTGAATCCCGCAAAGTGCTTAACCATTGCTGAGACATTGAGGCTTTGGAGCCCAACAGTGTATTGGAATCCAATCTCACCGGCAAGATAAGGGTCTTCCGAAAATGTTTCCTCGACCTGTATTCATTCAGTCTTATTCCCAGGAACATGGGCAATGTGATTAGACTCTTACCCGGCCATATCGTAGCTCGCGGGCGAGGTCGACAACTGGGGCGAACATCTGGGTGACACCCAGAGCACGAGCCTCTTGAGCAATGACCTTTCCCATCTTGTGGACCAACTAGATCAACCATCAATTTTGAATTCAAAAAATCCATGAAGTCACCGCAAAATCATACGTCTCGGTTGAAGGAGCATCCATATGCAATAGGGGAGTTGAAGATGGTTGCATTCCCCATCAAAAAACCATGAATACCTGTATTATCGTTAGCCTGGACCAGAGAATACAAGGCGAGGAGCACATACCCTCCGTTTGCACAAGGGCAGGAATACCGAGGGTGGTATTTTCCTTGATGTAGTCTTGCGCCCTCTTGATATTGGTTGCGAGCCAGTCCCATGGAACAGGATATCCAACTAGCAATGAGAGGTTAATGATATTGTAGCTGCAACGACGGTCTTTGAGGTTATACCATAGAACATGCCCCCTTTTGTCTTGATACTTTCTTCCAGGCCCGTGTAGTTAAACCGTCCTGTATTTGTATCCATCCAATCGGACATACCGCCTGCAAATCTGTTAACCATCATAGACGGAGCTATCAATGGGCAATTCTATCAACGTACCTTGCAGTAGCTGGGCCGATTTCTCCTCAATTGTCATTCGCCCCAAGAGATCGGCAACACGATCGTCGATACTCGCATTCGGATCTTTGTAGATGGGCGACACACCTTGCGCAGCGGCTAGGCTCGCATAGAGGAACAGTAGCCCCTTTGAAACGAAGTCAGGGAACATGGCGTGAGCGTTGGCGAGTAGAAGCTATACCAAATTACCAAGTGGATTTTGGAAGAAGAGTTAACAGAGATCGAATGAATCGCGACCTTTAGGCTTTATTTTATACCTAGTTGACGGGGCACGGGAAACCACTTCGGAGCAATGGAGCCTTTCTGAAGTAAAACGATATAGAGCGTAAAGGTTTAGCATTAGGCAAAAATAACGCGAATCAGATTACGATGACTATGTGGGGAGCAAGAATTTCGATTCTGTTGTTGCCAGTGATTGTAAAGCAGGGTGAATTGCGTAGGTCTCGAAGGATGAATATGGGGTCAAGGGAGTGCCAAGGGCCCTAGGGATTAGCCTGAAAATGCCCTTGAACGAACGAAACGGGAGAAAGGTCCAAATCATCGCAGATGCCCCGAGTATGTTTGCAAGACTGCAAAAGAGGCTGCCTAGCTATGAATTGCTGTTGCAGGATCGGTGGCTGTGGTATCATCCGCACCGCAAATTGCAGATGCGGATATCATATCTAGTCCATAAATTTTCAGCTTGCAGGTAAAGGATGTTTAGGATCCACAACGCATCCACGGAAGTTTTGCGGGCGAATAACATTCCAAACTATGCACAAATACGAACATGGCCCACAAGGGCCAGGGAAACAAGTCTGGGAACTATCCGCACGGTCTAATCAACCTCGTTGGTCTCCATCAGCAAGCTGGGATTTCAGCAAGCCTAACTGGTTGAACCTTATAGTTTTCCGCACGCTACTTGTGGGGTAATTTGATCTAGCTTCCATATGACCCTCCCCTCTACTGTCCTAGCTTTCATGGGTGCGGAAAGTACGAGTTGCTGGTCCATCCTTCGAAAATTTTGGTCCTGGGCCCCCAGCGCACCTGAACAATCTGTGCGATGTCTTATGACTGCTCCGGCCTCTGGCTCCTGCTGTGCCTATTAGCCTAAATGCAGCGCGAAGCCTGTTTCCTGGCTCTCCCCCAAACTACCAGGATCCTCCTCTGCCTGGAACATGCAACCGGCCTGGATGAGTAGAGACCCGCCGGTCCGCTAGAATTCCAGGCGTATAAGACGGGGCGGGGTTCCCTGGCGATCGAGCCATTTCTGTCAAGGAGATATCGAGACCACTTTAAAACCCCACGTCACGAAATTCGAGAACTACGAGTTCCTGTCCCCGGTGCTTAAGAGCATTTCATTGACTTAACCACCAGCCCTCAATATGGTGACGGACGTGAACCAAGCCACGATCGCTCTGGAGAAGTCGGCTGCCCATCATGTGGAGGATACGCTGGGCGTTGGTGCTATCATGGAGGCGAAGCAGGCCACCGATGAAGAGCATGCACAAAACCTCTGGCAGGCCCTGCGAGCCAATCGCAAGGCTGTTATGTGGTCTGTCTTGATTTCCATGTCGGTTATCATGGAGGGATACGATACCATCCTGATGGGCAACTTCTTTGCCTTTCCCACATTCCAGCAAAAGTATGGCCAATACTATGGCGGAAAAATTGGCTGGCAGGTGTCGGCCCCTTGGCAGACCGGGCTGAACATGGCCAGCACAGTTGGTTGTATCTTTGGTGAGTTACAGGAACTTTACAGTAGCTGTGGTTGCAATGGTCGCCTTGCGTGCTGACTTGAGTCTCTTTTCCTCCAGGTGGCCTCCTGAATGGCTACTTTGCCAGCAAGTTTGGGTATCGAAAAGTCATGATGATAGCGCTGCTATTCTTGACCGCGTTCATCTTCATCGTCTTTTTCGCCAACTCCGCCGGTGTGCTACTCGTGGGTCAGGTCCTCTGTGGTCTGTCCTGGGGCGTGTTCGCGACGGTCGGACCCGCCTACGCTTCAGAGGTCTGCCCGACCAACCTGCGTGGTTACCTTACAATCTATGTCAACATGTGCTGGGCCATCGGCCAGATGATCGCATCTGGCGTGCTTTATGGTCTCTTACACCGGTCGGATCAATGGTCCTATCGCATCCCTTTTGCCTTGCAGTGGATCTGGCCTGTACCCTTGATGGTTATCTGCTGGTTGGCCCCGGAGAGTCCCTGGTACCTGGTCCGCAGCGATCGTCTCGAGCAAGCCAAGCACAGTATCCGTCGCCTAGGGGGAGACAAGACTGAGGATCAAATCAATGGCCAGCTGGCGATGATGGTCCACACGGCTAAGATTGAGTCCGAGATCGAAGCAGGCACCACGTACTGGGACTGCTTCAAGGGGGTCGATTTGCGCCGCACAGAAATCTGCTGTATGGCTTTCTGTGGCCAGATTCTGTCCGGCAGCACGTTTGCCTACTCCCCCACGTATTTCTTCGAGCAGGCCGGCATGGATAACAACCGGGCATTCCAGCTAGGCGTGGGTTGTACCGGAGTGGCTTTGGTTGGAACTGCGCTATCTTGGTGGCTGATCACCTACTTTGGCCGGCGAACCCTCTATATTTGGGGTCAGGGCCTTCTTTGCACTTTCTTGTTCATCATTGGGATCATCAATTCGGCCTCCCATACCACCGACGCCCTATGGGCGCAAGCCTCGTTCTGCTTCCTCTGGCTGTTCGTCTTCGCCCTGACCATTGGCCCCATCACATATGCCATTATATCGGAGACTTCCTCGGTGCGTCTGCGACCCTTGACTGTTTGCCTCGCGCGCACGGCCTACCAGGTAGTCAATGTCGTTTCGCAGGTGCTGGAGCCTTACTTCATGAACCCCACTGCCTGGAACGCGTCTGGCAAGACTGGATTCTTCTGGGGTGGCACGGCCCTGCTCGTCTTCATTTGGGCATTCTTCCGTCTGCCTGAGCCCAAGGGGCGTACCTATGCTGAGCTGGACATCCTCTTTGCGACCAAAACCCCTGCTCGTAAGTTCGCCTCTACCCACGTGGATCCGTATGCCATCGGTGTGTCCCCCTCCCAGGAGGGACTTGTTCGCAATGAGACGATGCAAGAGGTGAAGGAGTGAAAGCACAAGTAATATATCAACCATTGAATGATACTTGGCCCTTCTTTTAGTCGATTTTGTTACATAGTGTGCAAGGCGAGTTAACGAACACCAATTGTCAAGTGAGATCCTTTCCGATGTAGTAGATTTTCTTTCTTTTCCTCCGTTGATACTCGTCGCATTACTGTTGCAGTATCTGTACATATACCTACGGCGAGCTTCGTGCCTTCGGCGGTACTGTTACTGATGTCTTTGAACCAGTGGTTCGGTTCATAAATATTCTCTAGAGCGGAAGCGCTCAACCCTTACACTAGTATCAATTTCAGTCACAACCCCCCCCCCAATGCACGGGGTGGAGGCTTTTACAGTCTTCAAGCCCACATATCGTAGCTAATGTTGCTGATGCCGTCATTTGCCTTCGAGCGGAACCTTCAGCAAATGATATGATTGTGATTGCTCGTGACTCGCAGGGATACTTCTTTAGCGTAGAGACAGCTCAAAGACAGGTATAGAAACAACACAGCCGCAGCAGTCAAGAAGGCAGGTGAGAACCTAGATACTGCGGCCAGACCATCCGGCTGGAAGACGGGCCCGTAAATGAAATGTCCGACTTGAATCTCCTCATTTTATTCCTTGGCTGGTCAACCCAGCCGGGGTCTGTCAGTTCGCAGTGTTGGTTGGGCATTTCGGCGCAAATCCTCTTGTCGGGTTCTCTTTGGTTGTGTTGGTGCTTCATCTCCAGCTCTTCTGTGGTGGTGGAGGAGGTGGGCTTCACGGGCGACAGGTCCCGCGGCTGCGCGCTGAGGACGCCCACCACCCAGTACTGACAGTAGCGGCTGTTCGTATAGAACCTTAAATCATAGCTCTCCTTGCTAAGTTGATCTTTGAAGCACTTCACCTGTAAAGAATTACTTCGACGTCTCCGCGTAATCTTGGCAGTCAACTTAGGCGGTGAATTTTCGGTTAATTTTGCAAACTTGGCGAGGCACACTTTGAATGAGTGTTGGTGGGCTTACCCCAGTCAAGATATTATCTCAGCACTTAGTACAGTCCTTGAGAGATTCTGGACTGTCCAGGGTCCGAGGTAGAGCTGAAGAGAAGGTCTATCCACCAAGTTCAGGACTTCGGCACTTGACAGAGGCACTTCGGTGTGACTCCACGTAGTAAAGGGGGCACAAGTTTCATGGAGGCGAGCTGCACCAATCCTTTCTCCACGCAATAGCATCGATGAGAAGCTGAAGACAGCATGGAAATTAGGCAATTGGCTGAGAATACGGGTTATTAATTTTTATACAGGCGGCTTTTACCTTTTCCTATTGGCTGAATAGATGGAATCCCGAGGTATGGAAACCGCACCCAACCAGAGAACAAGACAAAACACCGCCAAACCTGTAGGGCCCTTGAGAAACACGCTATGTAAAAGAGGAATCTGACAAATTCTAAAAATACCCACAATTCTGGCGTCGTTGTGTACGGTGATCTGACTCAATGAAGGAGCACTTAAAAAAAATGGTGATCTGGGCCAGGTGTCGGCTTTGAAGGGCTCCAATTGGATGAGCGGACAACTCTCAATGGCTGGGCTGTCTAGCTAGGAAGACTTAGGGCCGGTACAAAGTCTACTGTTGAGTGTTTCTCATCTCACAGCTGGGTAGGTGACGTGTCAGCTAGTTAAACACCATTCACGCCGACCAGAACTGTCTGACCAACAGTCTATGACCTTGCGATTGTGTGGTTTGGAAGCTAGTGCTCCGCTAATATAAGAATATCTCACCTTGCCCATGTTTAGGCAACAGTGTCCAAATCAGAGTATCATACACCATTCTTGAACGCAAGATACTGGAGTATCGCCAAAATGTAAGATTTAGGTGCAAGCTAAGGAAAAATTGAAGCTATATATTCACTGACAACCTTCGCATCCAAGATGTCATTCACAGCTCAAGTGTCTCCAGACCCAAATGGCAAGCAAACCATATCATATCCGTCTGCTCACAATCTCTCGATCGAGAATATTTCTAACGATCATTTTCTGTGACAGTAGTCGTCGTGGACAGTACTGCTTTCGCATTAAATGGCAAGAGTGTTTCCTACCGCTTCCATGTGGACGACAGCACTGGCGACCTGCTCTCGGATCATTTTGGGGGCAGTGTCACTGGAGCTATACCAACAGATCCAACTCCGATTGTAAATGGTTGGATTGGGATGTCAGGTCGCATCCGCCGCGAGTTCCCTGATCAAGGAAGGGGGGACTTCCGTAGCCCCGCGATTCGGATCCGCCAGTCTCATATCATATCAGCCTTGCAATACGATTCTCATACAGTAGTGAAAGGCAAACCTGCCTTACCTGGGCTGCCATTTACTTTCGGCGATGAATGTGATGTCACCACCATCGTGATACACCTCTTCGACAAATACAGCGCTGTAGCTGCAGACTTGATGTACTCGGTTTTCCCCAAGTACGATGCTATTGTGCGCAGCGTTTCTGTCACAAATAAGGGCACGGGGAGTATTGTAATCGAGGACTTAGCTAGTCTTAGTGTTGACTTCCCTTTTGAGGATTTTGATATGATCTACCTAAGCGGTGAGTGGGCGAGAGAGACGCATAGGCGGAGGCGAAGGATTGACTACGGGATACAGGGGTGCGTTGATGAAACACCGTTCAAATACCCTATACCAACGTCTTCATAAAACAGGTTTCGAAGCAGCAGTGGCTTTTCATCTCATTCGCACAATCCATTCCTCGCGCTCACACATCCCTCCACCACCGAGTCGCAGGGTGAGGCATGGGGCTTCTCACTCATCTACACTGGTTCATTTGCTGTCAACGTCGAGAAGTGTCCTCAGGGCTTGACGCGCGTCCAACTAGGCTTGGATAGTCACCAGCTATCTTGGACATTAGGTCCCAACGAGACCCTTACTTCTCCCGAGTGTGTCTCGGTATACTCTAAGGACGGTCTCGGGGGTATATCACGCTCCCTACACGGCCTATACCGCAATCACCTCATTCGGAGTAAATTTGGGACAGATAACCGGCCTGTGCTTCTCAACAGTTGGGAAGCGCTATATTTCAACATTAACAGTCATGATGTCTACCGTATAGCAGAGGAATCGGCTTCCTTAGGCGTGAAACTGTTTGTGTTAGATGATGGGTGGTTTGGAAAGGAGTATCCGCGCATCAATGATACAGCTGGTCTGGGTGACTGGATTCCGAATCCTGCACGGTTTCCTAACGGCCTAGCCCCCTTGGTGAAAGATATCACAGCTCTGGAATCAGTCCAGTCGTCTACCAACCTTCGCTTCGGAATCTGGATCGAACCGGAAATGGTCAACACGAAGTCAAGCCTATACCATGACCACCCTGAATGGGCACTACATGCAGACCCATATCCACGCACAGAACAGCGGAACCAGCTGATTCTTAACCTTGCCCTACCTGAAGTTCAAGATTTCATTATCAAATCAGTCTCGGGGATACTTCGCAGTGCGAATATTACCTACGTGAAGTGGGATCATAACAGATGTATGCACGAGACGCCCTCTCCCACTATTCACCACGCATACATGCTTGGCCTATACCGAGTTTTTGAAACATTGACAACACGTTTTCCTGATGTCCTTTGGGAAGGATGTGCGTCTGGTGGCGGGAGATTTGATCCCGGTATTATGCAGTACTTTCCGCAAATCTGGACTTCAGACAACACCGACGCGGTGGCACGCATCTTTATCCAGTTTGGTACCTCACTTGCATACCCAGCAAGCTCCATGTGCGGCCATATTTCTGCTGTCCCAAACCATCAAACAGGGCGTACCGTCCCACTGGCCTTCCGCGCCCACGTTGCTATGATGTGCGGTTCTTTCGGTCTGGAACTTGACCCTGGGGAGATACCACCAGAAGAAAAGGCTGCGATACCTGATCTTATTGTGTTAGCGGAAAAGGTCAATCCAATCGTGCTGGCGGGCGATATGTGGCGACTCAGTCTACCAGAGGAGTCAAATTGCCCGGCAGTGCTATTCATTTTGGGGAATCAGGCGGTGCTATTTTTGTACCAGCTTGACTTGAAGGTGAACCACGCCCTGCCACGGGTGAAGTTGCAGGGTTTGGGTCCTCAGGATTTGTACTTCGTTGACGGGGAGGGACCTTACTCTGGCGCAATGTTGATGAGTCTGGGGTTGCAGTATTCCTTCGGCGCAGATTATGGAAGCAAGGTCGTGTTCCTGGAGAAGGTGTTCTCTGGATTGCTGAACCTTGGTGGGTGAGTCTGTTAGTGACACCTCATCCCCTTTCCTCCAACCATGGTATACAAAGGGGTAGTGGCCTTTTTGGTCTTGCATTTAGGACTGCCAGTGAAAAACCTTGAACATTGGTCAACTTAATAGAGCCAGAGATGCTACATAACCTCTTCACCGTACAGTATTCTGAAGGCGGATGGCGGCCCCAGTTATAGAAAGCGGAGGAAGCAGGAAGTGAAAAAACATAGTGCGTCGTTTAATCTATGGACATATGCAAAAATATCCCACTTAACTCAGAGCACCCTCGAAGATCTAAATCTAACTCTCTCATGGTAAAGGAGACGACAAACTAAGAGTCGTTAGGAAACAAAAAGAACTGGAAAAAAAGTCGGTTAATAAACTCAGACTAACGCTAACACTCTCGCCACCGAGGCGAGGCACCTGCAAGGACTTAGAGCTTGGAGAACCTGGGAGGTTCAGTAAAAGAATTAAGCAAAGCAAGCAAGTTAAAAGCTGCTGCCTGGTCTTGTCTGATTTGCTGCCATTGTTCCAAGACGCCTGGTTGTCGCAGTAAACTGAAGACCTAACCTGAAACAGAAATTGCTAACAGTGAGGTGAAGGCTTAAGGTGAGTAGGAGATCATAACCGATGAGTGCCCGTCAGCTGGTTGAATACTGAATCTTAAAGGAAGAACTGTTACGACACCAACACGCCGCACTAGTGCAGGGCGGATGCGACAGGCAGAATCCAAGGATTAACATTCGCCAATCAATCCGTGATCGGAGTTCGGATTTCGGATTAATCCGGATAACCCTTCACTGAAAAACCATATAGTAGTTGTACTGTCCCGTCCTTGGGCTTGAAGCAGCAAGGATTTGAGCTTGAACCTCATTAGACCGCAGCACTCGGTACCTAAGGCATTGAGAAAGGATTTCATGTTCTCTATTTGCGGATAAGGCAGCCGGGAGCGGAAGGTCTGCTGTCCATGGTCATACATCACAGTCCCCACGTACCCCGTTGTACTGTGGTGAAGCTTTCCAACGGCCAGTGTAAGCCCGAGCAGCTGAAATATGCAATTTCAAACAAGAGGGTAGATATCTGTGAGGTTCAGAATTGTCCTTTATGTTCATACGATGCAACACAAGGAAATAGCGGTTGATTTGGTACAGAGAAAGGCGCTTATTGTGGAGCAAATTAGAATCTTTTATCTGAAATAAACCGCAGAGTGATGTAAATTGCATAGCTTAAGGATCTGTACTATCTACAGTGTTCATGTCGCTAATCTTCAGTTCTAGCCATCATATTTTAATGCTTTGGAGTCCGCATCCTTCTTGATATCCAAAACCAAAGAATATAAAAAAGCCCTTATAGGTGCGCGAGCAGGCAGCCCAATGCCATACCCAGAGGACAAACATGTAATGTGGTCAGAAACATAGTCGTATCAATGTCATCATGTTCTTCCTTAGAAGCAGGCGGGGAATCCAACTGTGGGGGCTTTGTTTTGTTTTCTGATAGAGACTTCATTTCCATCAGAGGAACCATAGGAACCATACCAGCACTTTAAGTACTATTACTTAGATGGGCAGCATCCATTTTCTGTGTATTCGAGTCCAGAGATGACTAGTGGTGAGCCACGTGGAGGTAAGTTAATAAATAATATAGTGACATAGAAACACTTACCTTTAATATGATGGATCATGGACACTTAGAGGAAGTAAGTTAACAGGACTTTAGAGGGCTCAAGATCAAAGTTTTATACCCAGAATCTCAGAATCTAGATATACATTACATTTCCTTGAAAAACACAAGTACTCTAGAAGGCACAAACTTGAAACATTAATGACTAAAGACTAGCCCGTAATGAGGTCTTGTCGCCGTACCTATAGGCAAGGAGAGTAATAGTTAACTCTGATATATTCCTTACTCCCTCAGCTTAAGTTGCCCACCTTAATTTACTTATCCGAAGCCTCAAAATCTACTCTTCAGTCTTGATAATATAGGAAGGAGTTAATCCAGAATCTAACCCCTCACCTTTTTCAGGTTGACTTATGGTAAATATAAGATAGTTTTCGCCTGAGTGCAGGTGCTTAACTCTGGCACTGGAAACCTTTCTGAAGTCCTCCTCATGCTGAAATGCTTGGCAGGCACCAATTCCACTGGTTGGTGGACTGCGGCGGCGATGCGGCGCTAAGCTTTCTTCAGCTTCCTCACCCTTGTCCCAACCAATAGTCGCGAGCCTCAGCGTACCCTCAACACTCACAACCTGAATAGTGCATGGTCCTAGGTAACTATGGCTGCGGCTCCGCGATCCCGCAGAGGTAAACCCATGACTACGGCATTTAGATCCTGGTGGTAGAAGTGGTCATAATTTTGCCCTCAACGCTGAGGAACTATTTAATGCCGCGTGAATTGAGAAATGCCCTCGATATTTGCCAATAACGAACTCAACAATCCCGGATTGCATAATATAGACATTAGTTAGCTGTATGCTTTAGAGTCGTCTATGAGAATTCGGAACCTTACGCATGGTACTCGAGAGGCATTTTGGCAATCTTGGTACTGAGCTGGAAGATATCGGGAAGCTGGAGACCAATGCCGCCCTAGCCTCTTAAAAGTGCCTCGAAAGGCATCACAGGCCAACCAATCATCCCCATTTCCAGAATTGATCTGCCACATATTTTTGACCTTTCCATGAATGAGTCCCTCTATGGAATAGTTGAGAGCCCTCCAGACTTGCGTCTGTAGAATAAACCAGTACATGCGCGGGGCCGCGGCCGGGTCAATTGAAGTGCTCATCCTAGGCAATCCGGTTGATTTATAACGATCTATACTATCCCACTTGATGTCCCCCTGTATAAAGCAAATTATTTTAATATAAGAATGAGGTGTTGTCTGGTTGGGTTGAATAACTTCCAAATCATGGGGTTTGACCGTTTGACAAGGAAGATCATGTGAAAAATTATCACGTGGGTTAATGGCTGTCTTAGGGTCCTGAGCCCTGACAGCAGCCCTGATTTGACAGCAGTCCAAACGTGACTGCTGTCTTCCCATGACAACGGCCATTGCCAACAGTTTTTTAGGCTACATAAGTTGGTTAATGTAATTTTCCCAGCCTATAAATGTCAACACGTTTGCATCTCAGAATCAACCCAGAATATTGTAGGAAGGTATTATATAGTCTTCCTAGTTGGCTATCTCAGCAACCAAAGCCACTAAAAACACAGATACATCCTGTATCCATATTTTTCCGTCAATCGACGTAGTTCACCGTTCTAGAACAACCCCCTGCAGGTCGACAACAGGGTGACGTAGGAGGCAGTTGATTGGCATAGCTATTCCCAAACATGTCATCCAGGCAGCTAGACGGGTTTGCATGCAAGCGCCCAGTCCACATCTTCTAACCTGGCCCATGGAGCTATTCCCATTGGGTGGTGAGCAGCAATCTTTGCTTGGCCGTAAGCGCTAAGACAAGAGTAGATAGCTTATTGCCATTCATTGGCAACGAGGGGACTTCCCTTGCCCCATACGAAGCTCGACTTCTCTCATGCGAAGTTCACCTTGCCCTCTTAGAAGTTCACCTCCTTTTAGGGAAATTCCCTGCATATGTAAAGAAATTCTCCCCTCCCCCAAAGTGGAGTTTTTTCTCTCCCCTCATTTTCTACTTGCCGTATTCTTTGCAATATCAGTCTCGAAGATCGGAAACAATCTTTCCGTCGCGAGCAGCATCGAATCATCCTCCATTCCCAAGGTCCTCTCCGAATTTTTGGATTGGCTTAGGATAGTAAGAGCTCTGCCAATCTTTCTTTATGGCATGAAACACTCTTCTTGATTACTGTCGCTCTTTGATTACCACTTAACTTATCTTTATTCAATCAAGCTCGTCCACGCACAATGCTCAGATTGCATTTCCTTGGTCTTCTCCTTGTTCAATATGTGATGGGACTAATATTCGCCATGTACATTGACCAGTAAGAGCCCCCGCTGGCCTGGACGGCATCTCAATTTGCTGAATTTTACACCTAGAATATAGGGACCTGTGAAAACGACGACGAAAATGACAGCCTCTGGCGCCAGAAACGGCCGCCCATAGCTTTGGACGGCGAGCTGCTGCTTGACCGCCGGCTGCCCTGTACCACCCGCCTATTCTGCGCCCAACCAGGACTGTTAGTCATCCTCCTCTCGTCCCGTTGTTGACGCTTGACTTCAACGATTGTACCCTCCGTTTCCGCTGGCGACCAAAACGACGCCGAAAATCGCTTCCCTCTGCATCCAAACCCAGGTTCCGCTCCTTTTTGCCTAGCCTGGTCGATCGCCTATAAGATACTCCGTCCGCCCTCTCTTCCGGGGTCTTTCAACGCCCTCTTAATATCTGCTCCTTCAAAGAAAGGAAGAAACCACCCATCATGACAAATCGCCTGAATATTGCAAACCGGATGCCGGTGAGGTGTGCAATGGTTATGCGCCAATGGGACGATTTGAGGGTCTTTATGGCTCGTGGCATCGCTCTCTTATCATAGGTATTGACAGCTGTTTCCAATGAATTCGACGAAAGAAGCAGCTCAGCCAGATTTAACCCATCTTGCAAAGCAAGGTTTGCTCCGTTTCCTGCAAAGGGGCTGACAGCATGATTACTATCGCCAATAAAAATAACCCCGGGCATCACATTCACATGGTCGAAAGGCTGTTTATCTCTTGCCGGAATTTCAAAGACAGTGGAAAGATCTGTAGCGTCGAGAAGCGATGCAAATGGTTCTGCAATTTCTTCACAATGTTCCCGCGCCTCAGTGAGTATTTCCTGGCGCTTTCTTTCAGTAATTTGTGCGGGAGTATTGTTTGACACTTCTTGGATTTTGCTCAAAGCCCAAACCACGGCGTTATCTTGGATAGGCGTGCAGAAGCAACTATTCCCATACCCTGATACCAAGATTCCCCAGCCTTCATTCAACGGCGACGGAAGTCCATTAGAAAATGTCGCAATGCCGCCGATTTGCGTTGCTCCAGCACTTTGCAATTGGTCGTCTGGTCGAATAGAGGCGCGGATGCTGCTATGAGCGCCATCGGCCGCGATCAGAATATCACATACACACTCCGAGGTGTTCAAGTTGTTAGAAGAGAATATGGCAGATAGTCTGCCATTATTCAAACGAGTAACACCTCGAAATTGTGATGCCCACTTGATATCAACCCCCAATCGCTCGGCTTCTTCGATGAGAATTTGCCTGAGTCGAACCCTAGGAACTCGCAGCATGCCCACGGGAAGTGAACTCCAAGGCGTGGAAGAAACAGAGATAAGTTCATTCCAAGCGCCGTCCCACATCTTAAACGGCATCCCAAGAGTGCTTGTCGTTGCGTATTCCAGGACTCGATCAAGTAAGCCCAGCTGCTGCAAAGCTGCGAGTCCGCCATCTTCATCTATGCCATTCAAGGCCAATGAGTATCCTTGTCTCTTCACATCAGGCTCTCTGGGATCTCGATCTAGCACGGTCAATCGAGGCACCGTTGCGCCGTTGGATCCATATTTTCGTAACGCGATCGCAAAAGAGAGGCCCGCTATACCTGCTCCAACAACGATAATATCCCTATCCTTCAGAAAATGAGCGGTGTGAGAGAACATGGTAAGGAAAATAATGAATCAACAAGGCAGAGCTCAGGTGTGATAAATTGAAACAGGAGGTTACTTAGGCTCAACTATGGTGCTTAAAAAGCCGCTGCAAGCTGTAGGCACCACTTTTTCAAACAAGCCCCCATACGAGTCAACTGAAACATAGGTTGAATAGAGCTTGGGTCTGGATGGAAGAGCAAAACGCTACTGGTCAAAGTCTCGTCAAATCCCCTGCCATCGCAGGAGACCAGATAGCATCTTCCCATCTAACAGGGTCCCTTGAGCACGGCTTCCAAACTAAGCCTAAGGCACCCCACGCTAAAAAGAAAACCATAGTCTCCACGAATCATGCTACGGTAAGCAGTAGCGACGGGTTGGGGGCTGTTTAGTGTTGCCTAATGATTCACTGGTGGACTTACGCTGCCCACGCTGTTTTCTGTTGGATCTTTGGGTCCTTCATATCAATCTCGGCGGTATGTCTAAGAATATTTCTTTAGGTAAAAACCTTGGGATAGATAGAAAATAGCCATTGGGTGAAGTCCCCTTTGTACTCAACGGTATCAGGCCGCCGCTCTTCACTCAGAATCATCACTGCATCTGAATGGGGCTAGACAGACCCCACCAATCCACTACAGTTGCTCCCGAGCTCCTGTAAAGAGTTAACCGATATCGCATCACTTTTCATCGACGTGGAAGGTATTCAGCTTGGTCGCCATGGTTCAATATCCGTCATGTCAATTTATGCACCCGCGAGAAAGAGAATATATCTCATTGATATATACGGAGTACAGATTGGGAATTGAAGTGTTTGGCGGCAAATCTCTTCATTCCATCCTGGAATCTTCGGCCATCTTGAAAAAGTTTTATTTTGTTAGGATCGGCCCCGATAGGCGGCTGTGCAATGTGATCATCCTGAGTCTGTTTGTAACATACAAGTTTAGAGGATAAGAAAGCCCAGAATCCTGATCTGTCCGCTGAGAATTTAAAGACGCGCCCCGTGTCCCGAATGCGAATACCTAAGCAAACATCCGTCTCGCACAGCTTGCTGTATTGATGCAGTTTTTTCTCCAAATTCAATCTTCGTCGGCCTCTTTTTTGTCTGAGATTTCCTGTTAGACCCAGACTGAGTCGATAATTTGCTACAATTTTTATCATTATAAAAATGAAGAGAACTGGGAAGATAGCTCTCAGAATCCGGTGGGTGATAGACTATGATTAAGAATTAATTGTTTTATTATTATGTACACAGCCCTGGAAATCACGCTTGCCAAAAAACCGTAAAATGCTTTTCCAGGGCAAGTAGCCGGGGAAAGAACTCTCACGGTTTGTCGTGTGGTCTAAGAAACCGTCCAGTTTCTATAGTCACCCTTTTGGACGTAGGGTATCGTCGGCGCTAACCCAGGAGATGTGATAGGCGGAATGCACATGGTGTCACTGAGTACCTCTCTCGCCATGTCTATCATTATGATGTTGGTGATGATGATGACCAAAGCTCCAATCACTGGAATACAGCCGATGTTTCCGTTTACCCCAACCCACATCAACGCTAAAATGTCCTGTATGCCCATGGAACGCTTGATTGCTGTCTTTTTCGCCACACTGGGCGCTGCTGACTACCTCCCAATCAGCATCGCAGTTATCATGGGCATCTGCTTGCTCGAGGGCATTGGGATTGGAGTGACTGTCATTTCTGACAATGTCATTGGACCCACGTGGTGTAGCGTTGTATTTGCCTCCTATTACGTATTAGCTTGTGATTTGGACCGGGGTAGGGATGGATAGGAGATGTACCGTTTGAGACTTCCCGTTTTGCCGGTCCTGTCTGAGCACTTTCTATCTTGACTGCTTGAGACTTGGTGTTCTGATTTTGAAGGGTAGACATGTTTGGTAGTAAGTAGAGCCCAAGCGGAAGAAAACGTCCTTTGAGATGCTGCTTCAGAGATTGAGGGTGGGTGGCTATAAAGAGAGAGCAGAAACGAATTAAAGAGACGTAGGAAGGAGATGAGGAGGAGGAAGAAAATTGGGTGCGGCCCGTCATGAAAAGAAAATGCCTTCACATGAGACTTGTTAGTCTGATCATGTGGCTTCTATATAGGGAGTCATGGGTTTGGGTCCACACCACAACAATGGCTAATCTTGATAAGACCTATACTATTTGATAGAGCATAAAGAGAGTAATCTAATAATAATACTATTACTAAAAGATATTAAGGATTAATAGAGTTATTCACTATAAAAGAAATATAGTAGAAATCTAAAAGTAGTTAGTCTTCTAAAGTATACTAACTACTTTTAAATTTCTATTATATCCCTACTTAAGAGTTATAGAGTTGATAATTAAAATAGAGGAAAATAGAGAAAAATTAGCTACTATACTAGCCTAATCTTAAGACTTAACCTAAGTAAATATAACTAGGCTAAGTGTAAGGAGATGGCCTATTAACTAGACCTAGATATATAAAAATATTAAGGTTCCCTTAAAGAGGTTAGAGATTACTCTAATAACTATATTATATATATATATGGATGGTATTAGGGCTAGAGAATTATAATAGATTAATTTTAATTATACTACAGTAGGTAAAGATAGTAGTTATTAAGATTACTAGAACTACCCTAATAAACTTAATAAAGTAATTAGGCTAGTTAGACTAGATAAAGATAAAGTAGATAGAGTAGATAACTAGATAAATTATATTAACTAACTAAATAAAGTAATTAGCCTAATTAGAGTTGTATTTAGTCTGAGTTCAGGCAAGTCCAACCCTAGTTAGAACCAAACTACTGTGATTTCAAGTCCAAATTTTAGAAATCAGAATTAGAGTTGCATTTGGTGTGAGTTCAGGTGAGTTCAACCTTAGTTGGACCTAAACCACTGTGGTTTCAGGTCTAAATTTTAGAACTTAAAACCAAATCAAATCTAATGTAATTTAGTTATAGTTTAACCATAAAAATCTGCTGCTAGGCCTACCTAGGTATAGCTAGGTCTATACTAACTAACCATGGTTAGATTTGGTTTGGTTTTAGGTTAGTTAAACTGCTAATTTTAACTATTTTAACCCTTACCATTCCCCCCAGGGGCCCTATCTAAGGCCCCTTACCAAGCATACTTATATAAATTCATAACTTTTATATAAAATATATAGTAATTATGATTATTCTAATCTATATTAGAAATATTAATTTAATATCTATAGGGTTAAATAGGTGGTGGTTAAAAATTATTTAAAGTATATAGTAGTTATTAGACCTTAGTGCCCTTATATATATATCTCTATACTACTTTCATACTAACCTATAATAGATATAATTATTCCCTTATATCTCAGCAACTACTAGGTATTTTTAAATAATATTTATATCACTAGATAGCCCTTAATTTAGGCTATCTAGTGATATTAATATTATTTAAGAATATTTAGAATTTAATAATTTCTAGGTAAAACAGTACAGGTTAGTTAAACCTAACTTAAAAAACTACAGAAAGTATAACTAATAGGTTTTACCTAACCTAGATTAGGTCTAAGGTAGCCTAACTAAACCCAAAGCAGTTCCCTAGGCTTACCCCCAAACCCACACTGCTGCAAGTTCAGTGAGGGTTAGATTCGATTTTTGCGGGTCAGTTATGCAACTCTAATCAGAATCAAACCTAATCTATTCTAATTTAGTATAAGTTTAACTATAAAACTCAAAGCTTAGTATAGCTTGACTATTTCTAGCTAAGTTATATTACTTACTAACTAACTATTGTAACAGATTGAGTGCAGATTCACTATTGTTCTATTTCTGTTTACCTTCATGCTTACAGCTTTGCTATAATACTGTACTATTTTTAGTTCTCTATTTTTATACCTTAAGTTAGTTATAAATCACTACTGCAAGCAGTTTATATTATTAATAAAGATATATAGAGACCCCCTTATCTGATAGGTTAGGAAGATAAGGATTAGTCTTATTATTAACTAATCTACTATTCCACCATATTATCAGGATCATATACTCTATCCTTCATCATTTCCAAAGTCTCACCTAGTCAACAGGCTTATCTACCCTGCMTAGTAGATTATCTTTACAACTATGATTAGATTTAGTAAGGTTTTAGGTTAGATAAACTGCTATTTAAAACTAATATTTTACAACTATAAGATGTTATAATATCTCCTTATATACTAATTATTTTAATTTAAAATATTATTTATATAAGACTCTATATACAAAGGTTAGAGTTGCATAACCAAACCACTAAAATTGAATCCGACCCTCACTGAACTCACAGCGGTGAGGGTTCGGTTCCTAGCCTAGGGAATCACTTTGGTTTTGATTAGGTAGGGTAAAACTGATTTAAGTTTAGTTTAAACTATTAGTTATAGTTTTTATGGTTTTATTAGATTAGATAAAACTATCTAATCTGATTAAAGAGAATACAGAAGTATTATATATTAAAAAACAGGTTAAGTAATCTAACTATAGTTAGATTATAGGAAGACTATTATAAACCAGAACTTCTCTATTACATTAAAGATAATCTATCTAATAAGTCCTATTTATAAGCTGATAGAAATGCCCTAGCTAATAAGATATATAGTAAGGTTGAGATCCCTAAGATACTAATTAAAAGATAATAGTCTGTAATGCAGGTAGGTAATTATTATCTCTATTAGATACCTCTTCCTTAGATATATCTTGCTATAATATATGTATATTAATATTATCTATATTATTATCTTCCTTAAAACTACCTAGATCTTCTTTACTATTACTAATATACTACTTAATATCCTAGTTATCCTGAATTCCTGATCATCCCTCTCTATACTAATATCTTTCTTACTAACCTTATTAAGTAAGAACTAGAATTCCTACTTAATTATAAATTAATTAGTATATATTAAGAGTATAATAGCCTATATTATATTAATAGCTAGGTAGCTGTATTAGTAGTAGTAGATATCCTAAGCTATACTAAATACCTAATACTAGTTATAGGGATAGTAAGAAAGTCTTAAGTAATT